CAGCATTATCTTGATCCTCTTTTCATACCGATTTTCTGGTAGAACACAAGATTTACGTTGAAGGCCAGCCGTTCAACCTGCAACTGACACGACATGATGCTAGCGGCCTTGCAATGAGCGGTAATCTGGACATGGTGTCAATTAACGAAACGATTGAGTGCAACGCGATCGCCTTCCCAAAAGCACGCATCACTTGGCGTCAGGAGAGCAGTCCTGACCCAAAAGTGAACAGAAAGTTGCTCATCCACTTGAACAAGATTGTGATTACCGTTTTCGATCCTCCTGGTGTCTACTCGGTGATCTGCGAGGCCAGAAATAAGCATGGTCAACGCCGGTTGGCACACCAGTTTATGATCAACAACCCACGCTACATACGCCAAGGGACCCAGTTCAGCATATACATTCTTGTGCTTATCTGTATTGTGGCACTCTTTTCTTTCACCGTCTGTGGCTACTTCCTGACCACATATGATTTCTGCATACAGCCACGTGTTTGTGATGAATACTTGGCTCAAAAGTCAGACATATTGGCTCAATAAGACAGAATCGACTGTCGGACAACCAAGCCCCGAATGAAGATGTAATGGACAAAAATTCGTTATTAGTTTTGTTTTAAATTGTGTAAATTCCAGAATTCAATTATCATCATTTGATCTGAGCCATTGTATAAATACGCATACACATAAATATTTAAATATCCCTTCACCTCCTCATTCTTCCTCGTCATGGCAACGCATAAATATGTAATTTCGTCAATCATACTTTTATCTGCTTATCCAGCATTGGAAAAATTTAAATAAAGACATTCTTTCAATATTTTCCCTTACTCAAAAAGTGGAGACGGTAGATTTGTATAAATGAAAGGACGACATTTTCTACGTAGGCTTTAAATATAGTTTACTGTGTGGTAGGGAACTCTGCCGCTGAGGTGCACAACTAAAATTTTAAAAAACGATGCCCATCACCATGGATGGTTGGGGATCAAGATAAGAAGTTGTGTGGAGGGATGTCAGTCCCTGTAAAGGCCTTGGTAATCTTGGAAGAAAGTAGACCCCTGTTATGGCAACAATGAGTCGTCTTTCATGATCGCTCATTAAGGCGAGGCAAGGTTGGCTCTCAAGGGGCAAGTTTATGCCTCAAAACTGTTCAGTTAATCGAAAAAGAGCAAAAAATATGGGATCTAGGCAGATTGGCGTAGAGTTCAGCAATTGCACGGCGTACTGGTACGGTGGCAAGCTGAAATATTATGGACGAGAAATTGGAAAGTCTGCTGTAGGTCAGATGTACAGCCACCTGATGTACAGGAATGCAACTGTTGAAGTACAATTCTGCTTGTTTGTCGTTAGACGGTTAGTTAAGCTACCGCAATGCTAGTGACATGCACAAAATGTAAGCTGAAAGTGGAGCTGTTGCATGATTTTTGACCAGGGTATATCGAGTTGACCCTAAGGGTCATAGCTAGTTGGTACTTTTCAGCCTTCTGCTGAATCAAGAGCTTTCACAAACGTATACATAGAAAGGCCTAAGATAGAGAAGAAACTAACAATAATAAAAAAGAAAAAGGAAGAAGTTTAAGATGTTTAAGAATAGGAGAAATAATAAAAAGAAGAAGAGGTAGAAATGGAAGATGTTGGAAGAAGTATATAAAAATGATAAAGAAGAAGGAGATGGGATGAGAGAGAAGGGAGGGTGAGGAGGATGAAAATCCCGGTGAGAAGGAGAAGAGAACAGATGAGGCAATAGGAGAAAAGGAGGAGGAAGAGGAATCAGTGTGGGCAAAAGTGAGAAGTTGAGAAAAATAAGAACGAAGGAGAATATCAGGAGATGAAAGAAGAGGAAATTGAGGATGAGAAAGAAGGATAAAGGTGGAGATGGGAAGGACGAAATAACCAGTAGGGTAGAGGGAAAAGGGAACAGATGGTGGGAAGAAGGCGTAGACAGATGAAGAAAAGGAGGAGAAAGAGGAATAAGATGGGAAAGAAGATCAGGAATAAATGAAAGATAAAGATGATAAGTAGACAGAGGAGAGGGAAAAGAAGGAGAGGAAACATTGGGTGCACAAAGTAGGATGGGAAAGAAAGAGGGGAACAAGGCAGAAGAGGGAAAGTAGAAGCATTAAGAAGATGTAGGAGAGGAAAATGTAAGCGTTAAGAATGAGACAAAATAAGATGAGAAGGATGGATATTTTGGTCACATGTACGGAAGAACAGTAAAGATACACTACTTTTAGGCAATTTCGCCTGTTTGAGTATATACTCATTAAAAAATGATGTTAACATGGTC